ACCAGGTCACACAGGAAATCCCTATGTAATGTCTACACCAGACACTCAAGAGTGACAACCAAGACCAGAACACGCAAAACCACTATGTAATGTCTACACCAGACACTCAAGGGTCACAACCAAGACCAGGTCACACGCAAAACCACTATGTAATGTCTACACCAGACACTCAAGGGTCACAACCAAGACCAGGTCACACGCAAAACCACTATGTAATGTATATACCAGACACTCAAGGGTGACAACCAAGACCAGGTCACACGCAAAACCTCTATGTAATGTCTACACCAGACACTCAAGGGTCACAACCAAGACCAGGTCACACGCAAAACCACTATGTAATGTATATACCAGACACTCAAGGGTCACAACCAAGACCAGGTCACACGCAAAACCACTATGTCATGTATATACCAGACACTCCAAGGTGACAATCAAGACCAGGTCACACAGGAAATCCCTAGAGTGTACATGTCCAGACATTAGAAGGGGAGGGAGGTGGGAGCTCATATCATCATCAAAAAAAGTTGTACAATGTGACTTTGACAGCCTCCACATATTTTCCTGCAACAGTGATACTACACCTATTTTGCATGTGAAAGATACTACACAGCTTCCATGTCCACCTCTCTCAAACCTAACCTTATGACCAACATTTCACTATAAGTTTGTTCAACATTTTTTTTTTTCTAAAAAAAACAACATTCAAGAGCTTTTTTTATATTTTTTTTTTACTTTTTCTGGAACTGGTTCAAATATATAAGAATCTTTTATATGTAGTCACTTTTCTGTCAGCTAACAACTCTTCCACTAACATTTGTTTGCTAATCCAACACAATTAGCTTATATCTTTTCGAAATCAAAATGATACAATTACTTATGGTGTAAATAGGCAAAAAATGAGGTGTTCAATGAATATAGGCAAAACTAAGAGGTGTCACGCTTTCTGATGCAAGATCATCAGTACCTTCATAGCATTACTGATGCCACCTGACTATATATATAAATATAAGTCAAAGCATGTAATAGACATTGTAAATATTTGTATAGTCTGTTTGTAACAATGGACAAGTTTCTGATTTTAAATATGCAACATAACTAGGGTAAACACAATGTAACAGCAGAGAAAAATGAAAGAGAACAAAATTGAAAAGAGGCAAAACATAAGAGTGACAATAAAATAAGTAATTATACAAACAAACTTATGAAATCAATTCAGGGCTCACGCTGTCGGGCGCCAAAGTAGCCATTGGCTACTTTTATTTTTTATTTGCTACTAAAAATTTGATGTGGCTACTAAATTGTTTTTAAAAATGGGGAAAATCTGTATCTTTGTCCCTGAAAACGGTCTGTCACTCACCTGTGTATTGTGGCTGACACTGATTGCGTAAACATAAGCAGTTCGGTCACAGATCATATCTATGTATTTTCGTGGTTAGACGGTTAAGAATTTCAAGTGATGGAGAAAAGTTATTTAGCTTCGCAGTTATGCAGTTTTTAGCTTCGCAGTTATGCAGATTTTAGAACAGCAAACTGTTCAGATTGTCTTCGACATTCATTTATATAAGGTGCCAATCAAGTCACGGGAATGGCCAAGTTGCGCAACGTGATGTGCTCCCGTTTTATTTCGAAGGATTGGTCACCGTTATAAATCCTTTTAAATGTGTTCTACTGCCAATTACATTTGAAATGTGTGATCTTTTAAAATATATATAGTTTTTTTTATATAACACATGAATTACGGTGAATGTAAACCCAGGAAAGATAATTATCAATATTGCATCACTGAGGCTACGTTTGATTTGGATTTTTATTAGTTTTATTTCTTTATTGAAGGCACTGAATAAGACTATCTAAGCCCGCAATTGAAAGTGAATAGTATCTTAAAATTTAAAACTTTTCAACCTAGATTTGAGATAAAGTCTGATTTTTCTCTCTTTTGAAAAAAAAAAAAAAAAGTTCTGGTGGAAATTTTCAGCATTTTAATTTAAGTCGTATTTTCTTACAATTACAGCCATATAATCTGAAAGTATTAAAAAATATCACATTATGGGTTACATTAAAAACATGATGCATAAAAAAAAATAATGTTGAATAGAATTGCACTTCAAAAAATATTAAAAATTGAATGATTTTAATGGAGGGCCTACTACGTAACAGTTAGAGGCCGAGAAAGTATGGCCACTGTTAAAAACAATTGGCTACTGAAATTCACACATGGCTACTTTTTTTGGCTACAGACAGGGTGAGACCTGCTATTGGATGCAGAAGTTTCAGAAGTAATGGGAAAAACACTGCATATTGACATGGGTCTAAAACAATCAACTATGTTTTATAATAATTGGTGGGCATACCCCGATATTTCAGAAAAGACAAGTGTGGGTTTGACTTAAAGGGGCTAGGCACATGTTCTATTAATTCCCATCTCAACAAAAAGTTATTAAAACATTTGTGTACAACCCTCCACTACTGTGGTTCGCCCTTATAACACCTGCAATTTTTAGTTATTTTTTTTTTAAATTAAACAACTCTCCAACCCAACAACCCAACCCAGTTTTCAACTTGAACCTTGAACCCTACAACACCCATTATTCTTCAAGGCCTTAAATTCCTGTCAACTTAAAATGTCACACATAGAAAGTAAGTTAAAGCTGACAAATCATTAGCAACCTGATCCATATTCATATCCTATTACTGTATTACCAGTTTACCTGTACAAAAATTCTGTTGTTACGAAAATGAAACGACTCATTTTACACCATAAAAATATCTTGAAATAGCAGAAGTTAAGATTGTGATCGTTCAAGTGCTTTTTACTTTGTCAAAATATGAACCAATGATTAATTTGAAGTTCTACAAGGGAGGGGAACCTAATTTCACACCCACATATACGCCCACGAAGAACAGCCATCTGTATCACTGTAGCTTAAGGTTTAACACAGAATGCACTGGGTGGGGTGAACATATGCGGGGTAATGGTATAATACACCTCAAACGTGTTTGTCTTTGACTCAGGGTTGACCCATATCATTACAAAAGTATTTTAAAACCTTGTCATGATCCCATTGCATGTTACAACTACCAAAGAATTTTATTCATATCCATCATTGAAATGATATCACTCAAAGAGTCAGTGTAAAATAATTCTTGACAGGTACATAATGATAAAAATAAATGTTATGTAAGTTTAATTTAATACAAATGTGGAACTTGTTTGATATAAATTTGTCTTTGTAAAGAGAATGTATGGCAACCACAAGAATAATTCTGCCTCACAAGTATCAAATAATAATGTGTTCATAATATTAGAATAGAAATTGGAAATCAATCAATTTAAATTTTCCTCGCATATAATAATATGATCATAATATTGGAACAGAAAATGAAAACATTAATCAATGAAACATTATGTACATATGATATCAGTTACATTATAGTTAAACACAGGTCTTTTCTTTAAAATGTTTAGTATGTTTTGCATAAAGTTGGTTTTCTGTGATTTTCTCATGGTGTTAGGTAGAATTGTATGTCCCCTTTATTTTTTTTCCTTTAATTGTCACATCACTAACAATAAACAAGCTGACCCTTAAATAAAGAAATAACACTGACCATTGTGCTTAGACCCTTAAATAATGAAAAATGACTCAGTTTTAGGCCATATGCATGTGAGCAAATGGACTCACTTTAAAACGTTTAATTAAAATATTACGAAATCATTTGCATCATATTTTATTTAATGGGTGGAAATCAGGTTTTCTTTTCATTTATTGCAATGATTCTGAAATAAATAAGAATGATGTAATGTGACTTTTGATATATTTTCCCTTCGACTCCTCTTCATTTGAAAGACAGCTGAATAAAAAAAAGATACTAAAAAATGCATTCCAATTTAATTACAATTAACCAACTTAAAGTAAGATATTCACTCATTAAAAATTTGAATAACTATATATTGGTTAACCAATTTGACATTGTCATTGCTGAATAAGATTTGGAAGGAGTACAAATGATACAGCATTTCCTCCAAAATCAGTGAGATGCATGACTTAATCATGACATACTCACACAGCTCTTAGTATGTACCTAAGTTATCTGTGATTGGCATACCACTGACGGTTTGTAGGAGTATTACAGCAATACGAAATATAGAAAAGGTCCAGGATCAATCAACAAGTAATTGTAAATATTTTGTAGTGTAATTGAGGTTGCAATGTATTGGTTTAGCAACTCTTAGTAAAGACCATACTGTATCGCTACCTATGAACATATAATTCAAATAGACACAGAACACACTTTTCTATTTTGCTTACTGGTGCATGGAGAGCTAAACAGGGGTTATACAGGATGTGTTTATCAATGTTTTTCTAAATACAATATTAATAATCTGAACTAAAAGCTATACCACTGATCTGTGACAAGTGAAAATTTATGAAGGCTGTGAAGGAGTATCCACCGATGACAGCCACTGATAAAAAAAACTAGTTTAAATCAATAATAAACATATGTGCATGTCTTAGCTAGTGTGCCTGCAAGTTTGAATGATCATAATAACCAAAACTCGTGAGAGCATTTTTTTACACGTGTGCATGTACACTACTTTTCACTAAACCAGTCGATTCCTATGCATTCATCAACATATGCTAGCGTCCAATAGGCAATACACAGGTAAGCTAATCTTACTCCCAATACACAACATGTGTATTGTACAAACTGTGCATCATGGCGATGGAAGCGTTAGAAAAATAAATGGTAAATCCAAGCTCATGTGATAAATCCGCATTTGGACATACTCGCGCGAGCCCCACTAGATGTGTCTCCATTCTTGCTGCTCTGCTCTCACACACGATACCGACACAGGGATGACACTGCGCCTGACAGATACGTTGTCAACATGGACTCGCCATTCAACCCGCGAAGGATATAATCCATGACGCTTGGTTGTGCATAATTCCATGACCGATAATATTTCCAAGTGATTGCAAAAGTATAGCCATACTTACTTCCCAAGTTCTTCTTTTAGATCGTATATATCACTAAATTTCTGTGTAGTAGTCTGGGCAGCCATATTGAATCTGAAATGGTCCGCTAATCTCGCAGGTTCTCGTAAACTGGGTCGGCGAGATCTCAGTGAACTATTTGTAAACACACCGCGGCCGTAGCAGCATCACTGCATCGATAGGTTCCGCTTGAGTAATTATCCCATCTGCCTTTAATTGCTTCGTCCTATATGCCTATCTATAACGGAGCTAGTAAAATTGGACGGTTTCGGGAACGAACGATGTGATAGAAATAAATATATATATTTAGCTATTTATATTTAAATAGTTCCGGCCCATCTTTAACTGTTTAACATAGTTCTAGTAGGCCTAGTGCACACGGTGCTGACTACGTATAGACTTATAAGTGCACTACACCACAGGGACCTGAAGCTATATTTGGACAAAGTGAGGTGTTCAAGGTATTTTGACAAGTTTTAGAGGTTTAGATTAAATTTCGGTAAAATGAAGATAGCTTCAAGTTGAAAAAGTATCCATTAGACGATAGATATTTTTTGTTCAAGAAAGTTAGCCTAGGTGTGGTCGATTTTTCGACATCGGTAGCTTTACTCCCTTCTCAATCGATGGGGTGTCATTTTTACCGAAAATTGATGTAAACCGCTACAACGTGTAACATTGCTCTGAACACATGTTTTAGTCCAAATATTGCTACAGCAGATTCTCATGTCCCTGTGGACATGGACTTAATCATGTGTCTGACGGTCTGATTAGTCTTGTAAACAAACAAATATAATCCATTCAATATCAAATCTATGTTTTTTTATCATTATATTGTTGCCGTATTAACATATACAGAGTATGTAATCTGGTTAATTTCAACTAGAATTGTGAAGTCTGGTAGGCTAACCGTAATGTTGGCCTATATACCTTTGTGTAGTCTGGTAGGCTAACCGTAATGTTGGCCTATAGACCTTTGTGTAGTCTGGTAAGCTAACCGTAATGTTGGCCTATAGACCTTTGTGAAGTCTGGTAGGCTAACCGTAATGTTGGCCTATAGACCTTTGTGTAGTCTGGTAAGCTAACCGTAATGTTGGCCTATAGACCTTTGTG